AAAAATTATCTAACTGGTCTGTTGTCAAAACATTTTTAAGTTAAAAAAGATATTAATGAGGCAGCCCAACATACTTTTCTCATGATTAAACTTACATAAATAATATATAAACACATAACCTGATACAACTAAAACACCTGTACAATTAAACATATCATAAGAAAACCTCATTTCAAGAAAAAAACAACACAATCATAAAATTTAAGGTGATAAAGCAAACGCAATTTCAAGTTAAAATCATTTAGTTCTTAGCTTACAATAAATATTAGTTGCAACTTATAAGCTTACCTCGTTCTTGGATATATCAATAGAACTAAGCATGAGAAAAGCAACATTTAGATCTGTATAAAACAAAAAGTAAGGTCAAATCACGCCGACTTTATGCATATTGACCAATTCAAGTGCAATAAAAATAGCCAAATAGCAGAAACCCAAACATCTTGACACTATCAATCATAAATGTTAGTTATAATTGTTGTATTACAAGGCTAGGTTTAGGCCCAACCTAAGGTTAAGGCCCATTTATGTATCTATATATATGTGTACATATCTCTGAGAATAATATCAGATATATGTTTCCCACATTCTTACATGGCATCAGACTAGGATTAGATTCAATTGTGGGTTTAGCTTTTGCCGTTCATCTCCAGACACCTCTGGTTCTCACCGCCCGGACCATCATCTTAGGCGTGTAACGGCGAGTCGTCGCCTGAAGTTTGGTCCCATTCGCCGGCTTGTGTCGTCTTCATGCGCCTCCTGGTCGTCGCTGCGCTGCGATCTTTCGCAAGCGCGTGTGGTCCACCCCGAGCTCCGATTTCCACCATTTTTCAGCCGTCGACTCCTCTCATCGTCGGCTACGTCCTGGTGTGGTCGGTTTTGTTTTTGATTTCATTTAATTTGTGCTATTTTGACGGTTTCATGATCTGATTCGTGCCTATATTTTCATCTATTTCGTGCTATTGTGTTGATCTGATTTTTGGAAATGGATTGTATGGATGTGCATTCTCCTATTAGTGTTGTCTTATCAGGAAATAATTATAGTCTTTGGGCACAATTTATAAAGAGTTTTTAATTGGGAGAAAATTGGGGCGGATTGTGACAGGTGATGTGTTGCCACCTCTACATCCGTCTCTTTCTGGGGATCCGAACCCCACACCAGAGGTTCTTACAGCTTACGTCGATAAGTTAGAGGATTGGGATAGTAAGAATCATCATATTCTTACTTGGTTATGTAATGCTTCAGTCCCTGCTATTCAGGTGCAGATTGCCCCGTTTGACAGTGCAAAGGAGGCTTAGAATTTTTTGGCTACTCGATTTCAGACTACAGGCTTGACTCACTATTATCAGCTTTGGAGCACCTTGCATTCCACCAAGCAGCAACCGGGTCAATCTGTCAATGAGTTTCTTGCACAAGTTCAACCTATCCGGTAGCGTCTCCGACAAGCTGAGATTAGTCCAGATCACCTTGATTTTATCCAGATTTTGATGGCTCTTCCTCCTGAGTATGAGGCTGTTCGTGCTTCTCTCTTACACCGTCATCCACCGCCTACTCTTGATGCTGCTATTCAAGAGATCACTTTTGAGGAGACTCGTCTTCAGTTAGCTAGGACACCACAGCTTGAGCCTGCATTAACTGTGCCTACTTTCGCTTCCGCTCCGTCGCATCAGCCTCAGCCACCAGTCTTTGTTTATTGTAGGATTTTCAAGAGCTCTAGTCACCCTTTTGCCACTTGTTCTAAGGTGGAGTACCACATCTGTCATGCTCGTGGGCATATTGCTACAAATTGTCCAGCCAAGTCACAACGTTCAGAAGGTTCATTTTCTCGATTTCGAGGGTCTCATGGGTTTTCTTCATCGACCCCTTCTTCGGTTACAGCGACTGTCACTAATGAGCCTCAGCACTCACCTTACACTCTTCAAGACATAGAAGCCATTCTCAAACAGGTTATCCATTCCAATTCTACTATGTCTGCTACCGCAAGGAACCCTCATTGGTACTTCGTGGGATAGGTACATCATTGCCACGTTTTACCTCGGATATTCTGTTATATTACCTTACACGAACTTCGTACGTCTTGGTGGATGATAAACACAAATCTTCACTTTGGATTCTCAATCTCTCAAAAGTACACAAAGTCGTGACAATATATATAGTTGTTGTGAAGAAGATGATTTTGGGTGAATCTTATGAGAGAGGGGCGTATAAAATTCGAAGTAAACTTGTGTATTTATATGCTACAATAGGAACCCAAATGAGGAGCTAAATAGGGGTTTCCCCAAGTATGAGCCTAAATGTGGGTCAAGCTCACTCTGCTCATACTTGAATAATATTTCAGTCTACTAATCAAATATTATTGAACTCCCCATTTAGCTCCGAAATTGCATTTGAGGCTCCAATTATAATTATTTTATTTATTTCTTCGTGCTTAAGATATAATGTTCGTAAGTTAATGTAATAACTGACATTATAATTAATTGTCTTCTTGATCGGAAGTTAGTACCACTCAATTCTTTATTATTATGTTGGACTTAAATCCGTCGGATGGGCTTGACATATCAATCCTTCTTGATCTCACTTCGGGAACATCGTCAAATTAACGCACACCATGATCGTAAATAATCAATAACACACCATACAAACATCATCACTACTCAACTCACTTAGAATATTGACCCAACAGAATGAGTCTCACTTTTTAGTGAATCAAAGTAGTAGAAACTGAGTGCAAGTACCCGTTATTATCATATAAATTAAGAGTATGCAGTAATTAACCAAGGTCTAGTTCGTTTACTTGTCAGTAAA